GGCGACGGTCCCCGAGTGGAGCCGGCCCTCCGAGGTGTCCCAGCCCAGCCTTGCAGTTGTCTGTCTGTTCGTAGGGCTTAGAGAAAATCATTCAGCGAGACTTCTTTCCTGACGTGGAGAAGTTGCGAGCACAGAAGGAGTATCTGGAGGCTGAAGAAAATGGTGACTTGGAGAGAATGAGACAAATTGCTATCAAGTTTGGCTCCTCCTTGGGCAAATCATCGAGGGACACACCCGCACCCTGTAAGAACTGGCTCACTGGGGTGTAAGGGTTTCATCTCTAATGTTACTGCTCTGGTTTATCTAGCTGTGTGCAGGCAGTGCTTATCTTAAAGAAGCAAAATTGGCATTGCATGGGAATCAGTATATCAGATTGGGCAGTAACCAGTATCTGATGGCAGATGGTGGATTTCTCTTTGATGGTGTCAAATAATTCCTTCTTGAGGAAATGATTTTGGAAAAACAGCTATTGAATAACCATTCCTCATAGGCATCTTTGCCAATTTCCTGTTCCCTAGGGAAAGTTACACGCTGTAATGTGCAGTGTTATTCTGTCAGAAACTCTAAGCTGTGTTTGAACCCTCATGATAGTTTTAGGGGTTCTTGTTGCATCTACAGACATGTTAGATTTCATATATTGGGCACAGAAGGTGTTGGAAGCTCATGATTATCAGAAGTCTGCCTGGCAGGCTTCCAGTGCCCTGTTGTATGTTTGCTTTCACTTCAACCTTGGGTGTTTCTTATGCTCAAGCCCAGTCCCTGGCCAAGCTCTCGCAGTGGGGTTTAGGTAGCTAGCGTTGTTCTGGCAAAGGGCCTGTGTCACCAGGTGGTTTCCCTTCCTCCCCTGCGCCGGGTGCTGGCTCTGGCCTAGGCTAGGATTGTTACGCTGCTGCTTGCTGCCGTTGGTTAAAGCTGTAGGTAGGGTGGCAAATTTGCAGGAGAGCCACAGCGAAGTGTATTTTTCCCAGCAGGAGGAAAATAATGTGTTAGATGAGTGCAAAATCTTGTTCGGTGGTTGGTGCAGAATTGAATGGAATATTTTGGAGTCTTTTCACAACTTTTAAATTAAGTCGTTGTTCTCTTGATCTGTCTTTTGTAACTTGTTCAGTACATGACCCTTATGATGGTGGAAAATGTCACAGCAAGTGTCCTGTTCCGTGCTCTAGTAACCATGTAAGTCGTTTTTTTTTTTTTTTTTTTTTTTCAGTCACAGATGTTACTCCAGCCACATTTGAAACCCCAGAAGTGCATCCAGGTGGTCTTCCACTGGGGAATAAATCCAAAGCTGGCATCAAAACTGCAGAGGAAGGTAGGAGAATGATGTTTCTTTAGCTGAATTCTTCAGCAACAGGAAAATACTTTCATGAGCTCTGTCTCCTGTAAGGGCATTGGGTGTTTAGGAGATGTTTAAGCAGTTTCCTTTAACTTTCTAGTAGGTGAAAATGATCACTCTGAAGTTGAACTTGATGTAATGTTTTACATTATGAGTGTGAAATCTCAATTATGGGCCTCTTTATGGCTGTGTAAATTCTTAACTCATTTGATCTCTTTGAAGGCAGTAAAGTTTTCTTGTGACACCTGAAATTAATTTTGTAAGTAAGCAAAAGATTGTAGGGACAAAGCTATTCATATAGTATATTAAAAATGTCTGCTAGCAGCTGGCCACTTGTGCATTTTCCCTTCATCAGAAATAGCTATAAATGCTGTAAAGGTTTTATGCAAAAGTTGGTTATATGTCTTCCAAACAAGAACTTATTATTGTACCAATCTGTGTGTGTGTATATATATGTGTTTGTTTTGTATTTTTTTTTACCAAGCTTCATGTTAATTATTAGCAGGTCAATAGAAGGCTCGCTATCGGAAGGGATTAAGAGTTGTGTTCGGTGCTCTCATAGAAAGGGAGGTATTAACCTTTCTTAGGCTTCCTCACTTCTCTTGTTAGGAGAAGCAGAAAAAGATGATAAAGATGAACTCCCCAGTCTGGACAGCTTCTTAGCAAAACACACAAGTGAAGATAACGCTTCGTTTGAGCAGATCATGGAAGTGGCCAAAGAGAAGGAGAAAGTCAAGCATGCTTGGCTGTACAGTGCAGAAGAGGAGAAAGCCAAGGTAGGGAAAAAAGAAAGGGCTCAGCTGTATCTCTGCTCTTCCAAAATAACACAACAAGGAAATACCATTTTACTGTATTTATTTCTTACTTGATTAGACAGAGTATTATCTTACCTTCTGTTTTTGAATCCTGCTATACATACAGATGAGAATTTGTGGGGTCTGAGCATGGGGCTATTATATTAGACTGTGAATTACTCTTATTATTGAATAAGAATAGCAAGGTCTTGATTTTGGATATTAGGTGCATGGGGATCACATCTGCATCTGAGCTAAGCCTGAATTTCCTCAGTCCTGTGACAGCTCATTGCTTCTTTTTGCGGTCCTGTTTTTTTCCCTGTGTGCAAGAACAGTGTTGACATAGTTGCTGAGGATCTGTCTCTTCCTAAAGCTCTGAGACTGTGAAGCATTGCACTGAGTGCAAGTGTTGCTATTCTTGGCAGTCTCCACCATAAGCAGCAATACCAAGAGCAGCTGAGAACAGTTCCTGTTGTTTGACTGTCAGACCTTTATTATTTGCAGTTAGATTGTCTTTCTTATTTCATTTTTTAGTTTCTATTAGAAGTAATAATCCATTCAGCTGCCAAAGTACAGTATTGTGCGCAGTATGGTTGGCTGTGCTGTCTTCCTCAGCTGGCTTCGTGGGAGGCTCAAGAGCTGTGCTGGCACCACCCTGTCAATCTTGCTCCATCAGCAGTGAGCAGCTGACACTGTTGCCAGATGTGTCAGTGATGGATGTGGGCTGCAGAGCCTTTTAATGAAGTTTGGCACTGATGCATGAGTGTTTACTGCTGCTGTTGTGAGTGTTTTGGTTTTATCCCAGCTAATGTAAACCCTCGGAGTCTGTTACAATAAAAATGCCCTCTGTGTCTCCTTATGCATCATCTTTGCTCGAATGCTTTCATCCAGAATTTAAAGGCAGGTGGCAGGAGAACATTTGCAAAGCACAGGGATTGTTTCAGGTCAAGGTGAAGTTGCTGGAGCTGGTCTTGTGCTGATGTCGTGTGTCTTCCTGTCAGTCAGCACTTGCTCAGACATTGCATTTCCTTGCACAGCATGCCTGTTTGTGTAGCAGGCAACCTTGCTATGCCTCATTTAATGTGGTCGGTGACAATACTGCTGTGTAAATGTATATGGACAATACCTACTAAAGGCAACATCAGTTGATGTCTTTAAATGTATAGCTTATGGCAGTAATTGTCTGGTTTAATTAGTGTGAGAATTGTCCTGGGTTTGGAATTTTAAAAAGGAGTAACTTATCAGTGGCTGACTGCATTCTATTAGTTTCTTTTTGGTATCAGTGGTACTAGTATGCTGGTAACAGCATACAAGTAATCGTGTGAATATGTTGAATGCTTCCATACGTGTACTGCCTATGGAGAGGCTTGAAAACTCTTTAAATGTTGAAGAAGTGTCTGTTCTTTTGTTACTGCTTGCCTCAGGTAATACAGTTTGCACGAGACTAGCGTGGTACAAATATTCTCCCAAGGTTACATGCCAAAGCCTTGTAGACTGCCTTTGTGTTAGATATAAGTGTCATGTGTTGCTCTTCCCTGGTTTAGCAATGAATGCTTCATTTGAATTTTGATTAGTAGATAGAGAAAAAACAGGAAAAGTTCAAACCATTGCAAGTGTTGTCACAAGATGTAATAAAATCATGATTGTTCTGAGAAGTTAATTCTTTAGTTCTCACTTGGCTTTATACTGGAACTTCATACGGGGTTGTTGTTTGGAAGCTCCCCTGGGAACAGAACAGTTTCTCAAATGCTGCTTGTTGGAGAGAGAGTGCTTGTGCCATGCCAAATACAAAGTGTGTTAGGGCAGGCAGCTGAGCTCGTGATTGAACTCTCCAAGTTCTGTATGCCTGATAAGAGATTGCAGGAGTCTCATTCAGACCTGATGGGGTTTTAAAAATTTTTTTTCCATCGCCCTTTCAGCGACGAAGTGAGAACCTGGCACTTCCTTCAGCAGAGCAGCAAGCTCTGGGGAGTGAGAAAGCTGGACTGGAGACCTGGGAGTACACGGCTCGAAACACCCTCATGTATTATCCAACAGGTGAGGCGCGTGGGTTTTTCAGGAGAGGCATTGATTCATTGGTGGGTTGACTCCAAACAGTGCTTATAGCACTACTGTGGATGACTGAGCAGCTCTTAGTGGTAACACTGTGCTTTTCCTTCTGTGAAGCTCAGATCTGTAAAGTTGTTTGGCAAAGTCTTTGGGTTAAGCCAAAGCTCTTTCCAGTTTGGTCGATCTTATTTATGAACACTTTCTTGTCATTTTTATTAATTCTTTACTTCTGCTCAAAGAGTGCTCCTTGGGCTTGTTGGTCCCTTGGTTGCTATAGGAAACGACATCATTTTGTAAACACAGTTTTCTTTTTGGCTATAAATGTACAATTGTAATTTCTGCAAAGCAGTGAAGTAGAGAAAAGAAAGTCTTGACTGTTTTTTTAAAAAAAGAAAAATTTATTCATTTCAAGTGTTACAAAGCATATGTCTAGTGCAAATTTTGTTTTAAATTGCTAGAGATACACACTGCAGTTGCTGGTGGATTCTGTATTGTGTGGGAATGTGTGGCAAGTGTCATGCTGATCGGGAGCTTTAGAGCACACTGCCTAGTATTACCTGAGCCCTTTCTTAAAACATGTTTTGTTTTTCAAGGTGTACCTGATGAGGACGATGTATTTAAGAAGCCCAGGGAAGTTGTCCATCGAAACACCCGTTTTGTGAAGGACCCTTTTAGCCAAGCTGTGAGCAAGTCACAGCTCCAACAAGCTGCAGCCCTCAATGCCCAGGTTGGATAATTTTACTTCTTCTAACTACAACCTTGTTAGAGTCTGCCCTCTGTCGTTCTTCGACTGGGAGAACTGTGTGTGTGCGAGATACAGCTGACACATACCTTTCTCCAAAGGCCAATGAATGGCGTTATCTTTTTTATTTCAGTACAAACAAGGCAAAGTGGGACCAGATGGGAAAGAGCTGATACCCCAAGAGTCCCCAAAAGTAAATGGATATGGATTTGTGGCTACCCCCTCTCCTGCCCCTGGTAAGAGGATTTTCTTATTTTTTCTGGTGTAAGAGGACTGCTACTGCACTTATTTTGATGCTCGGTTTGTTGAACACTGGGATATCGTTGTTGGCTTAGACAAGGAGGTAAACCTTCTGTCCGTATATGTCTCATGATCTGGTCATTTTCTTCTGTACCATGTATGGCAGCTCAATGCTGTGCTTAAATCCTAGTCCAATACACTGGCAAGAGAAGTCATGCAGTACCCGAGAGGCTCTGAGCAAGCTTCTGTGCCATTGCATAGGAATCATTTAGAGGGTGATGAGCCTCCCTAGGCACCTGGAATGCTTATTTTATCCCGAGGTGATGCTTCTCTAGAGCTTACAGATAAGAATTCAAACATTTCACAAACATGAACCTTCCAATGAGTTCAAGTGCTCATTTTTCAAAACAAGGAGCATTTGCGTCAATGTGTCCAGTAGTTTGCTGAGTGATGGTTCAGCCTGACTCATAGGGATGTGGTGTATCTCACTTCCTTCACATCTAACCTACTGTTTTCCTCCAGGTCTACTGCTTTTTAGGTTCTTTCTTTGTCTGAGTACACATGTGTATTATAGAATCCTTTTGTTCAGATGTATTAGCTGCAGGATACTTTCAGTTAGAACAAACTGATTATTTTACTCCCAGCTGAAATAGAGTATCTGAATTTTTAGCATCTCTTCACCAGCCATTGTTTCCCTGTCTTTTGTCATTAAGCTAAAAGGTGAACATACTGAGGTTTTTCCTCCAGAAAGCCTGTAGGTGGCATTTGGAGTGCATCTCCTTTCTCTGCTGTAAATGCCTTTTCCAAACCTGGACAGCAGCAGGATTTTCTAGCCAGTGGCTTAGCCAGGCTTTTAGAATCTGTTCCACAGCTGTAGCTGTTAGGCAAGGTGCAGAAACTGCTGGGTACAGGCTAGCCTCAAGATGAATGGAGGATATGTTTGGCTATTACATGTATCTTAGGTCCTCTGCTTGTTTCCCTGCTTTTAAGTAGTTCTCCATAGTTAAAGGAGTCTCATACAGTACGGAGGGGAAGACTAGTACTGTAGAGGGAAAAATGCAAGTGGCGCTAAGCAAAAGCTCACCAAATGGAAAAATAAATACATGGAAAGGACAGTGCTTGGATGTTGTAACCTAGAGGGTGACACAGCCACAGGCAATCCTGTGAGTTTAAGGTCATGCTCTTTTAGTGGGAACCACATGTTACTGTTCAACATTGGCTGTGATTTCCTCTGCCATGGAGGGGCTCCTTTGTGTATTGATGAATTTGCTGCATTTCATAACTTGCTTCTCTGGATTTTTTTGTGGTGAATGAATGGATAAATGTCTTGCATGACCATGACTTTTAAAATTTGGTTTTAGGTGTGAATGAGTCTCCTTTTATGACATGGGGTGAAATCGAAAGCACCCCTTTGCGTCTAGAAGGGTCAGAAACTCCGTATGTGGACAGAACACCTGGACCAGCCTTCAAGGTACTTCATGTCAGGAGTCAGCATGTCATTCTTCTTGGGGGGGGGTGGACTAAGAAGGGAAAGGCAAGTGAGTAACTAAGAGATTAACATTGTGGGAGTGTGACACATCTCTGGGCTGTGTTCCCAGTTCTTGAGACTAATAATCTACTTTCTGCTTGGAGGGTGGAGGTGGGCATGGCTGGCTCCACATGAAAGCTACTTGGTGGAGGTACCTGAGGTGGAACACACACTGTTGGCAGGAGAGTGCAACTCAGTATCTGATGATGGGCCCAGACAGAGGGGCTTTCAGAGGAGGCTGGGACAGATGCCTGATTTCTCTGATTTTAATGTATGAGTGGGTAGAAACTGTAGGATTTCCCTCTGTCTTCATCTTCTGGCTGTCACAGCCTGAGGCAGGTGTCTCATTTCAGAGCAGAAAAGGTGCTCTGGCTTTGTTAATGGCACCTGACCCTGCATGCCATCTGTCTCCTGCTGGTATCATTGAATGTGAGCTGTCTGAGACTCTTAGTTTAAGGAAGGTGTAATTTGCTGTATGTGCCTCTGTTTTGTCAGACTCCGAAGCCCTTGACTGGTTATCCTGCTGTTCAGCAATGTCTGTGTTTGCCTGAGAGCTGACTGGCTACAGGCCAGGCTAGACAAGACACAGGTGACATTGTTTGTCTAGGAGAGACAGCAGGAGGAAATGCCAGAGGTCGTGGCTGCTTTCTTGACTGAACTGCTTTTACCATTGTTGTAACTTACTAAGGCATGTTGAAGGTCTCTGTGTCCTCTCTGCTTTTATATAGCAGCAGAGAGGTGTGGGCTGACCCCACTTCTCCCCGGTTTAGATCCCTGTAAGCTGGAATCCAACTGTGAAGGTGCTTGGACTCATTTATGCAGCACTCATATGAGTGTCTTGGCAAGTAAACTCTGTGATGCATTTATAGATCCTGGAGCCTGGGCGCCGTGAGAGGTTAGGACTCAAGATGGCCAATGAAGTGGCAGCTAAAAACCGAGCAAAGAAGCAGGAGGCACTTAGAAAAGTGACAGAAAACTTGGCCAGGTAAGACTTCTGTTCTGGCAGCAGAACAGGGGATGGGTATTTTCTGGTGAGATTTAAGTCAACATATGTAGAAAGTGAGGAATGACAGGAGTACTGGAAGCAGGAAGAGGTACAGTCAAACGATAAGTTCTTAGAAAGAAACTTAATTCCTGAGGGAAGGTGGCTGTCCCTGATGCTCATCTTGTCAGCATTACTGTTCTGCCCTGCAGCCACCCAGCAATACGTCTGGATCAGTGTCTTGCTTCATTGCAAAGAGGAGACCTGATAAGGCTTGCTTGGCTGGGTCATGGGAAGGATGGAACAGGCTCATAGCAAAGGGCAAGCAGTGCCACTCGGGTTTGGGAGAGATGTAGGAGGTTTCTCTGTCACTTCTCTCTCTAGAGAGACAGGCTGCGTTTACCTGCAGGCAGAATGACTTCTGCAGCCAGTGGGTCTGGTCTGTGCAGGGAGTGGACAGCGAGCTCACCTGTGGAAGTATTGATGCTCTTCCTGATAAACGGCAGATTTTTACTCTAAAATCTTTTAAAACTGTTTATTCTGTTCCAGCCTTACTCCGAAAGGATTAAGCCCAGCAATGTCACCAGCTTTGCAAAGACTAGTAAACAGGACTGCAAGTAAATATACCGACAAAGCCCTGCGAGCCAGCTATACTCCTTCCCCAGCCCACACAGGAACTCCTGGTTACAAGACCCCAGCAAGCGGGCCTCATACACCCACAAACACCCCACAGTCTAGGACAGTATCTCAGACGCCAGTATCTCAGGATACTACATCAATCACAGACAATTTACTGCAGCTTCCTAAAAGAAGGAAGGTATCTGATTTCTTCTGAGTATTCCAGTCACCAGCAAGGCGACAGTGAACTGGCTGTGCTCATCTGCCTGCAAACTGGGTGTTGTAAGGGGTCTCCAGCTGCAGCTGTCGGAATGGAAGCCAGCAGTTACAAGATCTGGGACCAGCGCTACTCTAGACTATATAGCTGAAATGGCCTGTGATGTGCTTTTTAGAAGCAGAGTATCTCCTGCTGTGGTATAACTTCCCTTTGAACTGCGTGGGTTGGATGCACAGAGCTGCTGTAACAAAAGGATGCTTCCTGCAATGGCAGAGAAGATTCTGGACTATTGGAAAACAGCGATAACTTTTTAAAGATATATTTCTCTTTTTAAGATGGCTATGCATTTAAGTACCTTTCTGTACAGATATGTGCATTTATAAAATGTGGTAAGCCTTCCTAAAAGGTTGTACTGGACTTTCTTCCCACTTGTCAAACTTCTTTGGTTTTGTACTTTGCAGAAGAGAGGACACAACCACGCATATATTGAGACATGACCCAGAATTTTAGAGGGCTGCTCTTTAATTTGAGTTTAAACTGATGTTCTTGAACATATAGTTGGCGTGTCAAGAAACTTGGTATGTTATGCAAACAGCATGCATACAGTTGCAGACATCAGTTCACACTTCCTAATAACCTGCTGTCTTACTTACTGAGTCCAAAATGTGGTTGATGCACGTGTGAATTCTGCAGCTGATGTAGTCGGGAACTTGAGAAACGTGAGCGTAAGAGCTGTTGACTGTCAGCAGCACTGAAAGAAACTTTCCAGTGTGTTTTGACAGTAGCTTCTTGACCCCGCAAACCATATCAGAGACAGGTCTTTTGAGAATAGTAGTGTTAAGCTGTTCGTTCACCTTAGCAGATGTACTGTGTCTTCTGTTGCTATACTTTGTAAAGCAAAAGATAAGGACTGTTTCTGAAAGGGTCCAAAGAAGCTGAAGTCAAAAACCAGCAGTACACAAGTTGGTCTAACTTTGTGATGTTGTTAAAGCCAGCCGTCCTTAAGAGGATCCGTTTCTTCCTCCTCTCT